GGACTGGATAGGGTTTTACCAATACTTGAGTAGTCTGTTCCGTTGAAAGTTCGGAAAGATGAACCAAAAGAGCTTTTCATCTGGTCCTCATCAATATCTGATTCTTCTTCTAACATGGCTGTCATTTGGATTACAGAAACATACATAAAGAACTGCTAACAATTACATATATTTAATGACAAAAACAAACTTCATGTGGTAATGGTAAAATAAAGTAAGCCACTGCAGAGTAAGCGTGATATTCAGTAGCATTATACACTTACTATGGAAACTATTAGTATTTTTGTTTTTATTTAGAGTAAGTTATTAAAGTCAGTTACACTTCAATACAAAACTTACCAATTATTACAGGTGAAAACCACAAAACGCATTAACTTAATCTACATTTTGATCCTGTGTTTCATAGCATTAACCCATTGACTGCGGGCGCTCTAAGTGCACATGGAATTTTACAAGTCATACACCGTATACGGTACACTTGCATTCAACTGCCGGAGGTCGACTGTACCCTATACAGCAAATCTGCAGTCAACATCCTAAAGTAATATTCTTCTTATTCTGACCAGACTAATCATTTTTACAAGATTGTCGCTTTACAACATATTTGTGTCATGTTTGTTAAAACCCTATCTATTCCAGGCATCTTCACATTGTTATGTTTGTTAAAACCCTATCCAGTCCAAGCATTTTCACATTAACGTTTGTTTGAACCTTATCTAGTCCAGGCTTTTTCACATTGTTATGTTTGTTTAAACCCTATCCAGTCCAAGCATTTTCACATTAACATTTGTTTGAACCTTATCTAGTCCAGGCTTTTTCACATTAATTACCTGTTTGTTTAAACCCTATCCAGTCCAAGTATCTTCACATTATTATGCTTGTTAAACCCGATCCAGTCCAAGCATCTTCACATTGTTATGTTTGTTAAAACCCTATCCAGTCCAAGCATCTTCACATTGTTATGTTTCTTTGAAAACATAGTGGATCACAGTATAACTAAAATTAAAAAAAATAATGCATTTGACTGTATTATAGTATAATTGATGCTAGTAACACAGTGTCATTATATATTTGTATTCTTCATGGTATATGGATAAAAAAAAAGAACTTTATTTCTGTCCTTTATATTAAGTCAGAACCTGTAATTGCAGGCATCAACTTGCTCTACGAATAAAATCAATTAATTCATATGTAACATATTTGAAGTGATTTAAGACTTATAAAAGTATTATAAGATAGCAGTGTCTTCTTAGTTGTTAACAATAATTCGATTTCAAACTTCAAGGAAAAAGAGCTTTAATTAGAAAGAAATTTAAGAAGTATGAATAATAAGTAAACTTAATGGTTCAAAAATGATTCTTAATCATACTTAGAAGATTCATTTTTGGATGTGTATAATTTATAGTTGTTCGGGTGCACGTACAACTAACTTGATTTAATGCAGTAAGATGAATAGTGGAAAGGATATTTTTTTTTGTAAAAGTGATATATTTAGTGAAAACATAATATATGAATAAT